CTTGAACCCAACGATTCTGAGGCCCTGGAACCCAACAACTTTGGGGCTTTGAACCCAACAATTTGTTGGCCCTTGAACCCAATGACTTTGGGGTCCTTGAACCCAACGACTTTGAGACCCTTGAACCCAACAACTTTGGGGCCCTTGAACCCAACGACTTTGGGGCCCTCGGCAACACTCGGTCACCGCCACCCAACCGCCAACTCCACGGCCTTGAGCCAAGACCACGAGACCACCAAATCCCACCGGGAGAAGACCCCGAGGACCCCCCCCGGGCGCGGTACCTGCTCCTGCAGCTCTGCCAAGCGCTGCGCCCGCTCCTCCTCGGAGTCGTCGGAGGAGCTGTCGCTGTCAGAGGAGCTGTCGCTGCTGCTGTCGCTGGACGAGGGCGGAGCCACCTTGGTGGGCGGCGGCACCACGGCGGGCGAGGAGGCGGGAACCACCACGGGCTCCTCCGGCTCGTCCGGCATCTTGGCAAAGCGCATCTCGAACACGTCCTGCGGGCATAGCGGGGACACGAGATAGGCAGGGGGGACCCTGGGGGATCTACACAAGGGATCAACATCCCAAAAACTCCCGGAGCTGGGGGCTCTACACAAGGGATCAACATCCCAAAACCTCCCGGAGCTGGGGGCTCTACACAAGGGAACAACATCCGGGAAACTCCTGGAGCTGGGGGCTCTACACAAGGGATCAACATCCCAAAAGTTCCCAGAAATAGGGGATCCACACAAGGGATCAACATCCCAAAGCTCCCGGAGCTGGGGGCTCTACACAAGGGATCAACATCCCAAAAGTTCCCAGAGCTGAGGGATCTACACAAGGAATCAACATCCCGAAAGCTCCTGGAGTTTGGGGCTCTACACAAGGGATCAACATCCCAAAATCTCCCGGAGTTGGGGGCTCTACACAAGGGATCAACATCCTGAAATTTCCCGGAGCTGGGGGCTCTAAACAAGGGATCAACATCCCGAAAGCTCCCAGAGCTGGGGGCTCTACACAAGGGATCAATATCCCAAAAGTTCCCAGAGCTGGGGGATCTACACAAGGGATCAACATCCCAAAAGTTCCCAGAGCTGAGGGATCTACACAAGGGATCAACATCCCAAAAGCTCCCAGAGCTGGGGGCTCTACACAAGGGATCAACATCCTAAAAGCTCCGGGAGCTGGGGGCTCTATACAAGGGATCAACATCCCAAAAACTCCTGGAGTTGGGGGCTCTAAACAAGGGATCAACATCCGGAAAGCTCCTGGAATTGGGGGCTCCACACAAGGGATCAACATCCCAAAAGCTCCTTGAGCTGGAGGTTCTAAACAAGGGATCAACATCCCAAAAGCTCCCAGAGCTGGGGGCTCTACACAAGGGATCAACATCCGGAAAGTTCCCAGAAATAGGGGATCCACACAAGGGATCAACATCCTGAAAGCTCCCAGCTTGGAACACATGGAACAACGTGTTTTTCCTGCTTCAGCCACAGGGAAACTCTGAATTCCCAAGAAATGAGGGAATCCAGGTGGTTTTTGGGAGTGATGGAGCTCCTAACATGTGGAACAACATGTTTTTCCTGCTTCAGCCACATGGAAACTCTGAATTCCCAAGAAATGAAGGAATCCAGGTGGTTTTTGGGAGCGATGGAGCTCGGAACACATGGAATGACGTGTTTTTCTGCTTCAGCCACACGGAAACTCCGAATTCCCAAGAAATGAAGGAATCCAGGTGGTTTTTGGGAGCGATGGAGCTCCTAACATGTGGAACAACGTGTTTTTCCTGCTTCAGCCACATGGAAACTCTGAATTCCCAAGAAATGAGGGAATCCAGGTGGTTTTGGGGAGCGATGGAGCTCAGAACACATGGAATCGTGTTTTTCCTGCTTCAGCCACACAGAAACTCCGAATTCCCAAGAAATGAAGGAATCCAGGTGGTTTTTGGGAGTGATTGAGCTCGTGTGTGAAGCCAAAACCTTCACTGGAGCCCCGAGGATCCACCAGGAGCTGATTAAATCCATCACAGACCCTCCAGGAACGAGCAGAGGGCGGAAAATTCGCCCAGGAAAGGGACCTAAAGCAGCAGGAACCGGGCCTGGTTTCCTCTCTATATATTTTGGGGGAAAAAAGGGACATTTTGGAGCCGCCCTTCGCCTTCCTACAACTAAAGGGGCAGGAAAAAGGTGACATGAAACAAAACCCAGCGGAGAGGAGGGAACTGGGCGGATCCAGGTCATCTCCTGCAGCACTTCCAGGGGAAAAGGGTCATTTTGGGTCATTATTTACCACAGTGAGGGTTTGGGATGTCATTCCGAGGCTAAAGTGGCCCTGAGAGGGGGCCAAGGGGTGGATCCAGGTCATCTCCTGCAGCACTTCCAGGGGGAAAAGGGTCGTTTTGGGTCATTATTTACCACAGGGGTGGTTTGGGATGTGATCTCAAGGTTAAAGTGGCCCTGAGAGAGGATTCAAGGAGGGAACTGGGTGGATCCTGACAGGGGACCGAGGAGGGAACTGGGTGGATCCAGGTCATCTCCTGCAGCACTTCCAGGGGGAAAAGGGT